TGGGCTGCACGAGGTCAGGGTGGGGAGTGCGCAGGGTGTTAACATGGGCTGCACGAGGTCAGGGTGGGGAGTGCGCAGGGTGTTAACATGGGCTGTACGAGGTCAGGGTGGGGAGTGCGCAGGGTGTTAACATGGGCTGTACGAGGTCAGGGTGGGGAGTGTGCAGGGTGTTAACATGGGCTGCATGAGGTCAGGGTGGGTTCAGGAACGCACAGAGGGGGCTTTGTTGCGGGAGACCCCCTTCCATGGAGATTGTGTGTGTGCAGTCTCCAGGTACACTATGACTCTAAGAGGGGGCACAGCAGCACGTGGAACTTTTCACTTGTAAAAAGTAAAGATTACATGGTAATCTTTGTTCTTTTCTTTTTTTTAATACAGAGGATTTTGTAGAGTTACCTGGGGAATAACTTGGGGAACACAAGGGTAAAAGAACTTGAGCCTTGGAAGCCATGTAGGCAGGGGAGTGAGACCCTCGGCATCTGTGGGGGAAGCAGGTCTGACACTTGGGCTGTGGGGCAGTGGGTGTTGGTACCAGGGGTGTCAGATGCTCTAGAATAGCGTCCCAGCCACTCCAGCCACTCCATGGCTGTGGGCTTTGTGCAAAGCTCTTTAGCCTCTGGACCTCAGGTTTCTGGCCTGGAAATGGAATATAATCTTATTTGGTTATTGTGAAAATATAATGAGATGTTCAAAGATGCCTTGAAGATGTACAATGGAAACGGTCTTCACAGTCAACACACTGCTCCCCTGGTGTTTCCTGAATGAGGGGGCAAGTGTGGAGGGCTCGGGAAGAAGGGATATTAGAATCTTCTTCCTATCTAATAGAAATGCATGTGCTCATGCAGCGTATCTTAAAGTGATCTCTAAGATGGACAGGCCTGACCATTCCCCCAGGTGAAACACACTGATCAAAGAATTTATCTTTCCTCCTCCGTGAGAAGGGACACAAAGAAATCGGCTTCCAGGGGGATGGGAGGAAGGCCTGGCCTGCTCAACAGGGAAGGTGGAGGGGCCCGTGGAAATGTGAGAACACTGTCATCTGACTCAGCAAAAAAGGGGAAAAGAATGTGGTTATGAGATAACCCAGGTAACCAAGGGCCTATAGGAAAGGCCAATAATTCCTGGAGGCAAAGAGAGGCCAAAGAAAGAGTTGCAACCAGTTTGAAACAGAGAGAAAGAGGGCGTTTACACCGGCAGGGGCTTGGCAGCTCCATCTCACTCACCTCTTCTCCTGCATCAGAGGGACCCACTTCCGACTCTCCTTGAAAGCACTCTAAGCTTTCTCTTTGATCTTAAATAAAATTTACACAGAAACTTGTGTAGGTTCTTTTGTTTTCTATCCACACTGCCTGTGCTGCTCCAGTTACATTTCAGTTTCCATTCACTTTTGCTTTTAATTCCCACCATGTCTTGGTTGAACTTCCTAGTCCAGCCTAGTAATCAAACCAGTGTTCAGAGAACTGGGACCCGACTCCCACACTACCCTCCTAAATTAATGCTTCCTGAGCTGAGCAGCCATGTCAGTAAAGATAAGGGCACACATGACCCTAAAGAGCACTGAGATTTGTTTTAAAATTCCAAGTCCTGGCTCGGTGCCTGTGGCTCAAGCAGCTAAGGCGCCAGCCACATACACCTAAGGTGGTGGGTTCGAATCCCCAGCCCGGGCCCGCCAAACAACAATGACGGCTGCAACCAAAAAATGGCCAGGCGTTGTGGCGGGCGCCTGTAGTCCCAGCTACTTGGGAGGCTGAGGCAGGAGACTCGCTCGAGCCCAGGAGTTGGAGGTTGCTATGAGCTGTGATGCCATGGCACTCTACCCAGGGGGATAACTTGAGGCTCCGTCTCAAAAAAAAAAAATAAATAAATAAAATAAAATAAAATTCCAAGTCCTAAAAATTGTCTACCTTCAATTCCCTCTCCCTCTCCTTGTCAGATTAAAGTCTGGGATCCTTTTTTTGTTGGAGTCTGGGGAAAGAGGAGGTAGTCTGTGTCCTTCAGCCCCCAACCTTACCTCAGTCTGGACCATGTGGACCCTGTGAAGCCGGAGGTCGTGCACTGCCCCGTAAATGTCCACAGAGTCCGTGGAGTCTAACTGCTGAAGGACGCGGTCCAGGGCGATGAAGGTCCCGGTCCTGCCCACGCCAGCACTGGAAGAGAGGGCAAAGGCTTTTCACATGTGTCAACTTTGCCTTTTAAGACGGCACCTGGAGGTTGGCACAATCCTTCTTTTCTTTCCCAAGTTATGGGAGAAGGTGGGGACATCTCTTTCTCTGAATGTGTTCTCTCTTTCTCAAAGAAATATAACCCAGAGCCCCGCGTTCTGTCACTTTCCTCTACCCCTCACCCCAGCACTGGGTATGTTTAATTTCCATGCATGTTTTTCCACATACATGTAAACACATAAAAATATATTTATTTCATATGATTCAAACATTTACTGAAATGGTAACATGTTTCATGTATCCCTTTGCCAACTCTTCTACTCAGTATGGTGTTTTGAGATTTATCCGTGTTGTTACAAGCAGATCTAACTTCTTTTAACTATTCTACAGCGTTCATAAACCATCTAGTCCCTACTGGTAGACAATGAGATCATTTTTAGTTTTTCTCTATTAAAACTCGTGTGCAATGAACATCATCGTGCAACGTGTGGAGACACCTCAGGGGTAACAAGTGGAGGCAGAACTAGGGTCATCATCAGGCATGAGCACCTTCAGCTTCACGAGGGATTGAAAATTGTTCCCCAAAGTGATTCTATTGTCTGAGGATTTTGGGGGGTGGTGTCTGCCAGTGAAGACAGGAAAACCTGCTAGACAAATACTAAAAGAGCTGTGCCTCTTGTCTGGGGATTTTCAATGCACACATTTGCAAGATGAAGAACCAGTTCTCCAGCGGTCCTGGGCCAAAATGCTGCTGCTGATTCTAGAAGGCAGGAAGCTCCTGAGTGCCTCACTTTCCTGTTGAAAGTGTCAGGGTTCCTATGACACAGGAAAGCAGGGCACCGGGGTGCGGGGCTGATTGGGGCACATGAGTACACTTGACATTTCCTTCTTACTCCTTAGTTATCCGAGCCATGCACTTAGGGCTACTTAGTGTTTAAGCCTGGCTGCAAACACTCATTAGCTAAATACCAGGCTCCCCAGAGAGAGAATTGCTTGTTAGGTTGATTTTATGGACAGACTGTCTGAAGCAAAGATAAATCAGAAAAGAACAGAAATTTAAAGAAAAAGTTAGTAAAAACACTACATGTGGCTAGTGTTTGAATGTCTATGTCCTCTACAAAATTCACGTCGAAAGGAACTGAATCTCCAATGCAACGGTATTGACAGACAGGCCTTTAGGACAGGGCTGCCAGGAACTAGCTAAGCCCTTTGGCCTTTCCATCCCGTACTCCACGTGAGGACACAGCCTTCGCCCCTTCTGCACAACTCAACCCTATGGCACCACCTTACAAGCAGACACCAGGACTTCAACAGATGCTGAACCAGCCAGTGCTTTGATCTGGACTTCCCAGTCCCTAGAACTGTGAGAAATAAATTCCTATTGTCTGTAAGTGACGTCATCTATGGCACGGCGCAAAAGGCTGAAGACTTGCTGCAGTATCTGGAGGGAAGTCAGGCCAGGGGCCTTGAGGAGGGGCAGGACTTGCGCAGGTGGAGGAGAGAAACAAAGCCATTCCTGGCGTGGGGGGAACAGCAGGGGAGCGCTGGGAACTTGGGTGGGTGGTGAGCCTGGGCCCCGGATGTCACGATGGAGGCCCCGGATGTCACAGCAGAACTTTGCATTTCAGACAGGCTGGAGGCTGAGCATGAGAATTGGGAAGGAAGTGGAAAAGAAGTCAGTAAAGGACAGGCTGTCATTTTAGACAGGCTGGAGGCTGGAGGCTGAGCATGAGAATTGGGAAGGGAAGAAAGTGGAAAAGAAGTCAGCAAAGAGGAATGGGTTGGCGGAGAGGGGAGGAGGCAGGCTGGTCAGCCCAGACACACCCTCCACCTGCCAGATTCTGTGCTGATTTATGCCTTTTCCAGCCTCCTGGGCACAACCCCTGTATGGCTGCCATTCCACTGGGTTTGAGGCCACCAAGTACCTGCAATGCACCACGGTGGGCCCAGCGCCTGGGCTTCTGTTGATGTAGTCCCTGACGGTTCTCACAAACTGGATCAGGGACTGCGTGGTCTCCGGGACGCCATGGTCTGGCCATACCGTGTAGTGAAAGTGGCGGATGAGTCTGTGTGCATCAAGCTGCTCCTCCTGCAAGAACAGGAAACAGGAAAATGATGGAACCATACCAGGAAATCCTCAAGTTAGACAACTGTGCCGTGCAGGAATCCTACAGGCTGAAACTGCAGGAGAGGGGCCAGCAAACACGGATTCGCAGGTCTCCACCTCTCCATGCTAGGCTGTTAAATGAAAGCAAGCAAGCTGACGTACGCTGCATATCTTAAACTCCCGGATGGTCCACTCAGGCAGCACAGACTCTGACAGCATCTGCAGGATGAGGTCCCCGTAGTAGAGAGAGTCCTGGTCTGGGGGCCAGTAATGGTCACACTTTACCTAGAAGAAGGCAGAAAAAGATGAGTTCAGAAATGTGACTCCTCGCTACCCTGGACTCTCCCACCTCGATAGGCCTTCCTGAGTTAGCAGGATCAGCTTACAGCAATTCCATCACCTGTTTGTGGCCGGTGCTGAAGCCGAGTGGCTGCTCAGAAAGGGGAGATGGTGTGTGAAGGGCCCCCCCAACACCCCCCCCCAACCTCCTCTCAATACACCCCCGACCTCTGGGTTCATTTGCTTTTTAGGCACAGGGACACTCGGCTTTCATTTTTAAAAACTGACTTTTTCATTTCCACTAGCAAATAAACCATGGCGTACAATTTATCTTTTTTTCTTTTTTTCTGAAGAAAAATCTAGTTGGGCAGAGAAAGGCACTGTCTTTCTGACCCTGTGTTGTCCATAGTTTTATGTCATGGTCCTAACTTGGGCCTTGTACCAAGAGATCTCTGTGAAGTCAGAGTGTTTAGCTAAGCTCACCTTCCCACGTACCAAGACAGGAAGAGAAGCCTGGGGGCAGGTATTTACTGAGCAAGTACATGCAAGGGCTTTCTTTTAAGCTTCAAAGTGACCACAGAAAGTAGTGGATTATAATTGCATTCCAAGGAGTTTGCTTAATTTGCCTAGATAATCATTTTACTTTGCATCTGCCCACATGGCCCAGAACTCATTTCTTCCATGAGAGTAGGGACAAGTCCAGCGACCCTGGCGGGGTCTCTCCCTGGCCATACTAGAGGACGTGGCAGCCCAGTAGCCAAGCAATTTTTCTGTCTAAACAGCCACTGCTGCAAATCCCAGTCCTCATATAGAAACAGCTTTGACTGAAACTTCAGACCCAGAAGCAGAATTAGGAATCACTCAGATGGATTTACTAGAAGAACTTTTGAACTGAGCAGCTGACGTCACTAACACTTTTCTCACGTAACCTCCGCCTGGTTTTGTGTGGCTCAGTTCACCTGTGGCGGGAGGCGGTGGGGGGGGGGCAGGATTCTGTCTGTGCCATGGCAGGCACAGCTCGGGAGTCAAGGGGGCTGTTTACTCACTCGGCCCTTCTCAACACACTGGGTCACCATGACGATATTATGAACATTTTGTTCCCACGCCATTTTCCAGAAGTCATCCTTGGTGCCAGGAAGCGGTCCCTGAGTGGCGATGTATTCTCTTCTGAAGTTGTTGCCCTGCAATGAATTTACAATATGGAGGGCTGGAAACAATGGGCCTCTTCAGAATTATAAACAGTTAGCTCTGCAGATTCGATGACATGAAGGCCTCTGCCAGGGCCCTGACTTGAGAAAAAGATACTAACCTAAGTGTCAAGGCTCTGGGGGGGCAGGAAGGGCAAGACCAGAACACTGGGCTATTGTGAAGAGCTGTGTTCCCTTTGATTAGGCCGAGTCTATTCTACCAGGCAGATGGAGGGCTCAGGAAATGATCTAGAAAACACTTCACCCTCGATTATGTGTATGAGAGAGAGAGACTGTCTGAGGAAGTGGCTTTGATTGGGCTCTTTCTCTATTTAGTGTACAAGAGTTTTAATCATTTTGGATAATCGACATCAGAATAATTTGGTAGGAGATGCTACGCAGGGGAAGCCTAATGGAAAAGAACCCGCTGTTCATTGAGCACCCCCCATCTGACATGCAGGAGATCAACTCGCACAGATCTTTTTAAATCCAAACTGCAATTCTGTGAGCTACAACATTTTCCCCTGCCCCCTCTCCAGTAACACAGAATTGCTTGTAAACCCTGGTCAAAGCTCTTCCCCTCCTTGTCTCTCTCGGGGTCTCTGCCCACCCAAATGCTGCCTCTAGTGTAACTAACCCTACTTGACTTTGCATGTGGGGTGCCTGGCCGAGCCTGCCTTTCTCTTTCTCTCTGTTGGATGATCTTTTCCTCCTAGATCAGCAGTTCTCAACCTGTGGGTCGCGACCCACAGAAACTGTATTAAAGGGCCCAGCATTAGGAAGGTTGAGGACCACTGTCCTAGATGCTCTATGGCAACCTGTGCCTCTCACTACTCAGAGTGTGGTCCTCAGATCACCACCACTGGATCACAGCCTCCCAGGCCCCTCTCGGCCCTGCTGGGTTAGAAACTGCATGTTAACACGGTGCCCAGGTGGTGCAGATTTCAGTCACTGTTGGAGCACTGCCCGGGCAGGTGTCTCCTGGCTTTGCCTTCTAATTTCCTGATGTCCCAACTCTTCTGAGAGCTCCTGTAAGGTCAGATGGCATCTCATTCTATCCCTGTACGCAGCCTGGTGTTTAATGTATAGTTAGCACTTAGTTAACAAGTGTATATTGAGTGGATAGATTATCATTTAAGGTAAATATTCTGTGGTCCTCAGATCATCACCATTGGGATCACAGCCTCCCAGGCTAGAGTGACATGGTATCAGCCTAGTTCACAGCAACCTCAAACTCACAGGCTCAAGCAATCCTCCTGCCTCAGCCTCCCAAGTAGCTGGGACTACAGGTTCCTGCCACCACATCCAGCTTTCTTTTTTTAGTAGAGTTGGGGTCTCACTCTTGTTCGGGCTGGTCTTGGACTCCTGAGCTCAAGCAATCCTCCTGTCTTGGCTTCCTAGAGTGCTAAGATTATAGGCATGAGCCAACCATGCCTGGCCTGAGGTAAATGTTATTATTCTAAGTTTTGGAAAGGGAAAGGGAGGCTCAAAAAAGGTAGCATAAGTGGCCCAAGGTCACAGAGTCAACAAGGAATGGATGTTTGTTTGAACTTAAAGCTTTCCCACTACAGTGTGCAGGAGAAAGGTGGCAGGGTGCTAGCCGAAATCAGAGCCCAAAGTTTGAAGTGTGTCTGTGGTTTTCAAAAACCCAAGTAATGTGGCAGTCTTGGCCATAGGCCCATCTTCCTTAGGGGAACTCTCACTTTGGCTAAGGGCTGCAGAGAGTCAATGACTATGACGGTGCACTGGGACCGTCATAACTTTATGTGCATATTTAATGCACCAGACACGTCTTCTGAAATCAATAGTCTCCCAGCCTCAGGACAGTGGGAATGCAAGGAGGGTGACAGCTCCAGTGTGCCCCTGACTAAAGCCTCACCCAGGCACTCCGGCCCAGGGCTCACTCACAGGGATGTAGCTGGCGTTGATGTAGTCGGAGCAAGGATCATCGTCTACGTTGGACAGCTTCACTCGAGAGGCATCATCTGCAAGGGAGTTATTGAGAGATTTGTCCCTGGGTCTCACAGTGGCTCTCCCGCAGTTTGTGTGATGTGCACTGGCTCTGATACCCATGGACAGCCCCACACGGGAGGGGTTCTTGTCTG